AAAGCTGTGAATATGTCTTAGTTGACCTAGCTACATATTTGGCCAAAGTTATGATTTGGATTGGGCATGTAAGTGAATAATATTTCTCACTGTTTTATTGTTTAAAATTAGATATATTTATAGACCTTGGAGTAAAATATCCAATCAGGCACCATTTGTGGGTCCTGAGCAAGTGTTCCCCTCACCTTTTGCAATTTAAAAAAACAAAACAAAACACTCTGCTAACTGCTTCGTTGCACAGGAATAGGTCATTAAATTAGCATGTGAAGTGAAATGTTCTTCAGGGAATCAGTGATTTTAAATGTTCTTATTGGTGTCTGGGTCACTGTACTCTGTAGGATGAGCTAAGGAGTGACAGTAGGGCAAACACACACTGAGTATGTATTATGTGCCCATAAGCAAACTAGTTGGAACAGGTTAACTCATTTGGGTTAGATTGGGTAGCCTCAGCAGTGAGGCGGATTTTGGATTCACTCCTTACTGTGCAGCCTCTGAGACAAATAATACTTATTCCCTTATTTTACTCTCTTCACTAAATATACCAAGCTCACTACCTCTTGAAGTGAGATTTAATATGGTTGTTGAACTTGAATCTTGCTATGTACTCTTTTTGGCATTGATTGATAAAGTCCAGTGTGATTTAATATTGTTTTTATTTTTTATTTTTTAATGTATTTAGTACAAGGTCTCATTACACAGATTGAATTTGCAATGATCCTCCTGTTTTCAGCCTTCTAAATACACCCTGGGATTACAGTCACATGCTACCACGCCCAGGCTCTTAATATTCTATTTGTACTCACCTGTCAGGAGGCTACTGTGCTGGCTCTGTTTGTGGAAAGTGGGAAGACATTTCTCTGTACTTGCTGAATACCGGCTAACATGGAACTCTAGAAAAAAACCTGCTGTGCTGTTTTTGGAATTTAGAATATTTTGATGCTTTAGATATAACTGCCGGGTCTTTACTAATGTGAAGTATTGTGTGTAATAGTTTTCTCTTTGATATCTGTTGTGGATTTGTTCTGCAAGTCCATGTAGAGATCAAAATTCATAAATGCTCAAGTCATTTATACAAAATAAAAATTGCATAGTATTTCCACATACCATACATTCTAGCATATATTTTCCTTTTTTTTTTTTTTTTTTTTCTTTTTTCCAGACAGGGTCTCATTATGTAGTGGAGGCCAGTCTTGAATTCACTCTGTAGCCCAAGCTGGCCTTAAACTTGCAGTAGTTCTTCTGCCTTAGCCTCCTGAGTGCTGAGATTACAGGCATGTATCATCATGCCCAGCTGCTCCTATGTACTTTAAATTACCTCTAGATTACTTATGCAGGTAATACAATGAAAATGTCATGTAAATAGTTATTATGCTGTGTGTTTAGGGAATAGTGAAAAGGAAAAATTACATGTGTTGAGGGCAAACACAAATTGTTTTTCTAACCATTTTTAGTCTGTGGTTGGTTAAATCCATGCTTGTGGAGCCTATGGCTATGGAGGGCTGAATGTCATGCAGCCTTCTGTCAGTCGTTGCACTCAAGAAGTGGAGTCCAGTAGGAGCCTGCCCGGGTATAGGCAAACAATAATGTAGACTGACATAATCCATGCATGCAACGAAAGTCGTTCTGAGCAATAGTTTATAGAGATTATTTGTATTCAGGGTGAGGCAAGAGAGTTGAGTTGTAAGAGGAGAAGGTTTAAATGGTTTAAGAGGAGGATAGTTTAAATGCAGAAAGATGAGATTTTAAGAATGTCAGATGTTTATTTTGGCAGATATTCCAAGAAGAAGAAATGTCATTGAGGCAGTATAAAGTAGAATATCATTATGAAGGGAATAATGGAAAAAAAAAAGACAAAAGGAGCTGCAGGGTATTATAACTTGATGTGTCTGGCATGCTGTACTTTGGAGTTTTGAATTCTTTTAATAGCCATTAACTTAAAGTAACCAAAAAGATCTTTTCGTCTAAGGAGAAGGAAAGATGGAGTTTACTAGCTTTCTCTGTTAGCAGTCTGGAGTTTGGTTTGAAGAAAAGTGAAATTGGAAGTATAAGTACTAAAAAAGGAAGGTTTCAAGGTATTCAGGAGTGAGACTTAATGTAGTAAAGTGTTTAACTGAACTGAGATAATATATTGAACAGAAGCATGACAGGGAGTGAAAAGGCAGTAGCAGAAGGGTGAGTGTAGTTGAGGACCCTGCCTATGGTGACTGTAGAGGGATGAGTAGTTTGGGTTTTGGCCTTGAATTACTGATATAGTCACTGAAAAGGAGAACAAAGAAGAAATAAATAGTTTGAAATGTTAGGAGAGATCAACTCAGTCTTGAGCATGTAGTCTGATGTATTAGTGGTGCTTCTAGATGAAGATGTCAGTAGGCAATTGGATAGAGATCTATTACTGTCAGTGGAGAGGTCAAGAGGAAAGCTGTAGACTTAGGAATCACTAATGTGTAAGTGGTGAGTGTTGAGACCAAGCATGGGGAGTAAGAAAATAGCCAAGGAAAGAACTCAGGGAGAGAAAATATTCTGAAAAGCCAGGCTGGGAAGAAATGGAAAAAGAAGTTGTTTAGGCATAAGATGGCATGGGAGTATAAGCCAGTAGTTTGCTCACTTGCTTGCTCGCTTGCTCCCTCCCCCCTCCTTCCATCCTTCCCTCCTTCCTCCTTCCCTCCCTTCTTCCTATCCCTTTTTCCCTCTCCTCTCCATCCCCCCTTTCCTTCCTTTTTGTTTTGGTGGTACTAGAGATTGAACCCAGGACCTCCACAGTGAGTTACATGCATAGCTCGTCTTTAGTTTTATTTTGAAACAGTGTTTTGCTGAATTGCCCAGGCTTGTGATACTTGTGATACTCCTGCTTCAGCTTCCCATAGTGCTGGGGTCATGGGTATATGCCACCATGAAGTTAAATTGCTATTCCAGTGGGTGTGTTTTGTCTCACACTGTAGTTAAGTGACCTCCAAATTTCCAAATTCAACCAATGTGATTTCTGGTTTTGGACACTGCTGACACTCATTAAATTCTAGTGAAATGCTATATTAAAGTTAAATATATAAAGTTAAAATCAAGCTATTCTAGCTGCTTTGTTTGAAGCAAGGGCAGAGGACCATTACTCCTCTCCACTATTAATATCTGACCCTAACCTTGGTTTTTCTTTGTTTCCTCTTTATTGATTGTTATGGTTTGGGTCTAGTTGTTCCTCCAAAGCCTCATGCAGTCACGGAGTGGACTTCTACAGTTTGTGATTAACTCGTTGTCTATTGGAATTATGGATGTGAGTGCTGCTGGGATTATGGGTGTGAGTACTGCACCCAGCCTGGGGCAGATAGCCTGAATGCAACATAAGGGAGACAGAGGTGCTCTCTGCAGCCATTGTCGCCACTGCTCCTGCCCTTTTGCTCTTGCTCTTTGCCACCACTATGAACGGCTACTCTCTGCCATGTACTGCTTTGCCTTGGAGCCAGCTGAGTATGGACTGAAACTTCCACTGACTCTGAGCTAAATAAATCTTTCCTTCCTTCCTTTTTTTTTGGCGGAATTGAGGATTGAACTCAGGCCCTTGTGCTTGCCAGGCAAGTACTGAGCCATCTCCCCAGCCCCCTTCCTTCATTTTGAGTATCTGTTTGTCCTAGCAACAAGAGAAGAGTAACTGAGACATTGGTGCATTTAGATATCCATAATAATAGCATTCATCATAGAGAATTTTTACCTGTATATGATAGATCTTGCTGCTTCTGTTTTTCCTGTTACCCTCCCCTCTGTTAGTGGCCCTCCCCTCCTTATTTTCAAAAGCTTTGTTTCCTTTTTTTTTTTCTACCTTGATGAGCCTTAAGGTACTTTTCTGACCCTCTGGGGACCCACAGTCATAGTGTGAGTCCCACCAAGAAACAGACCAACTCTTTGTAAATAATAAGCCAATGATGAAATGCCTTCCCAAGCATAGGATAAATAAGTGGCAATGGTGGGATACAAATTACCATTTTAATAGAAATTTGTTTTGTCCAGGACTTTAGCTAAATGACTTAAGAATTTTCAGAGCCAGTCAAGAGCATGTGATTCTTGTTCTGAACACAGCTAATACCTACTGCTTAATAAAGTTCTTTCTTCATTTTCTAAAAGAATTCCGTCTCATAATAGAAATTAACAATGGGCTAGGGATGCAGCTCAATGAGAAGGCCCTGAGTTCAGTCTTTCATACCAGGAGGAAAATAAAAAATTGGAAAATTACTGGCCTAGAGGAACCTTGAAAGCTGTTATTAATAGCTGGTGCTCATAATTCTTCTTCTTTTTTTTTTAACATTTATTTATTTAGTGTGTGTGTGTGTGTGTGTGTGTGTGCGCGTGCGTATGGCCAGCTCAGCCCACCAGGGGGCGGGGCTGGCTGACATGTGGTGCTGGGGGATCGAACCGCAGTCCTTGTGCTTTCCCAAGCTTGTTCTAAGTAGGTGCTTTAGACCACTGAGCCATCTCGCCAGCCCCGATGCTCATAATTCTTGTACTGGGGCTGGGAATATGGTTCAGTGGGAGAGTGCTTACCTCTGTAGGCACTGGGTTTTGTACTGCAGTTCCCAGTGCTGCAAGCAAACAAAAGAACAAGCACAAAACCACCAGAACAAACTGTATGTTCTTGTTTGTTCTTGTACTAGGTGAAGATCTTAATGTATGCTAACTTGCTCACAGTTAGTTTTTTTTTTTTTTTTTAATTTTATTTATTTATTTATGTGTGTGTGTGTGTGGCCAGCTCAGCCCACCAGGGGGGCGGGGCTGGCTGGCATGTGGTGCTGGGGGATTGAACTGCGGTCCTTGTGCTTTGCTGAGCTTGTTCTAAGTAGGTGCTTTAGACCACTGAGCCATCTCACCAGCCCCATCACAGTTAGTTTTTATTGAGGTCAAAATCAGCATCTGAATGTATGTAATGATAACTTTCATTCTCATTAGGAATGAAAACCTAGCTTTGAAACAATTCTGTCTTTCATACCTTTTTAAAAACCTTTTATGTGTCTTACCAGGTTCGGATTCAGAAGATCTTTTGGAAGAATTGCTTTGCTGTTTGATTCAGTTAATCACTGATATTCCACTCTTGTAAGTTCTGGTTAAACTTGGATTTGTTTTATCTTCTGTATATATTAAAGATGATAATTGATCATTTTGAAGAGTTTGTGGATGAGAATAGTACTTTTATGCATTTCTTTTAAGGATTATATATCTGGAATTTTTGTTTTAATGTCTTTTGCCTAATATGGAGGCTGTTATAATTCATCATCAATACAAGAATTTCATGTTAAGGAAGAAGAAACCATTTTGCAATATAAAGTGTGTGGTAAGCATAGAAATAGGTTAATCTGCCAAGAAGAGATCTTACAGATCTCTGGAAACAAAGTTTAAGAGAGAAGCAATTTGAATCTAACTGGTGTATGGTAAACATAGCTAATTGACCACTCAATATTTGTTTTTCCTTCCCAGCTTTCATATTTTATTTCTGGCTTTTTTTTTTTTTTTTTTTTTTTTACAGAGGATACATTTCTGTTTCCCCTTCTTTGAAGGTAGGTGTGGATTTGAGATGTAGATGCCCTCCAGTGAGGTTTCTGGGCAGAGCTGTCAATCAAGACCATCTCTCTGTGTTATAGACAACCCTTTTTGGGGGCTGACAAGAAATGTCTGAAATGTGGACAAGGTCTTTTGAGGAACATAGTCATCTTGGTGCCATAAGCAAAATATCTCACAGGATAAGCTGCTAAATCTCTTCTCCCTCCTGCCACTGGGGATTGAACCAGGGCCTTAGCATTGAGCTACATTGCTAAATGCTTTTTGTTTACTTAGCTAAATTGCCCAAGGCTGGGCTTGAGTTTGTAATCTTTCTGCCTCAGCCTTCCCAAATGCTGGGATTATAAGTGTATACCACCATGCCCAACTGAAAATTGTGCTTTGACATCACTGAACTGCTGAGCCAAAGTCAATAACTAGCAGCCCCCCTCTTTTGTCCTAGACTTATCTGACAAAAATAGACCTGTATTTGTTTATGCTACTGTAACTGGGTTTTTGTCACTGCTGCTTAATGAAATTTCTATGTGATTCAAGACATGTCTAATTGGTTACTTGTAAGACAGTGATTCTCAACCTTTAAAAAAATTGTTTTCCCAGACAATTGTTAGATATTTCTTTGATTATTGCCTTTCTCCACACTGAATTCAATCTTGTTTCTACCTTTGGAGGACCACAAACTATTCTAATATTTGGGGAGCTTTTCATTGCCCAAAGAACTAATTTTCATTTTCATTGAAAATGCCTATGTCAAAGAAATTATTTTTGAAATCAGAAAGCAGATTTAAGGCTTATCATTCCAATATAAAAATTTATTTGGGGGATGTGATCAGAGGTGTGCTTTCTACCTGTGGCCCAAGAAAAGAGAGATGAATATTTGCAAGGAAATGTGCTATTGACCTCTGTTGTATGTAATTGTAGTATCCAGAATTTTTAAAAGTGAGAAGTATAAAACCCTATTGTTTGCTGTGGTGACGTGCAGCCTAGAAAGGGGAGTTGAGATAACTGGAAGCCATCTGAGAAGAGCTTGGGGAACAACCTGCCACTGAAGTTGGATTGTTTGTGAACAGACATAGATGTTTTCATGCCCAACATCCTTTCTAGCCGAACTTTGATTTGCTTGGGATGGCAGTGAGTAACCAGCTATGGCCGAGTCACATAGTTTGGGTCAGTGCAATGAAGTGTGAGCAGAAGTTGTGGATTTGCATGCATGTCCTCTTCAGACTTTGTTGTTTGCCCTCTCATTCTCCCTCTCCCATCCTGAAATGTGGCAGTGTTTGGACCATTTTGAAGCCATGATGTTATATACAAAGATTACTGTCCCAGATATGGGATTCTTGATGATGTTTATGATTCTTTTAAATAAAAACAACAAACACATACCTTGATTAAGCCACTGTGGTACAGTTCTTGTTACATATGGTCAGAGGAGGGAAGGAGAATGAACCCATATAGTGTCTGCTTTTTTTTGGTCACAGAATATAGGATGCTTCTTGCATTTTCTTATTTAACTTTAAAAATTGCACTTCTAATAACACTTTTTCAATACCAAATACCGAAGACTTAATATATGTCCTAAATGAATGCATTATTTTTTTGTTTTTTGCCTATATTGATGAATTGTTTTGATGAAGGTAAGGGGTCTGGATACAGTAGATGACTTTAGGTAGTAAATAAGCTGTGAACACAATGAATGGAGTGGCCACTTAGACATTCTTGAGGAGCAAGTGGACAGTGTTGCAGTATATCAAACATTTCATGTTTTACTGTGTTTATACATATTCATTTTTAAATGAACTGAAAATGCACAGGCAACCAGATGTCTTATGTTATGTACACTAAGGTTTAACCAGCTGCTAAAACAATTTATGATTTAATGTTTTTGGAACTCCATCCTACAAGAACGTTTGTCTTGGTTACAGTTTCCATGTGCAACCAAACTAATCTTTAAATGTTTCATCTACTATAACCATAGCGGTATTATAAATCAGCTTATAATTTAAGAGGAATATAATTATATGAAAACTGTGAATGTTGTCACACCTGTACTTCATCAGTTTTACTATAAACTTTTCACATTAACTTCGGCATACTGTACCTGTGCTGAATTAGCAGGTAAAACAGCAAAGAATGTAATTTTTATAGCTATACAGAGTAATTAAAAAACTACCTTAAATGTTTCCCATGTGATTCTATTAAATCATTCTATGTTTTTGAAAACAAAATGATTGCATGTATGTGCATACTTTCTCAAGAGAGTAGCATGGAATATAATGGAAAGAACAGGGTTAAGTAGACCAGAGTTGAAAACCCAGAACTTAAGAGTTTGTGTGACTGTTAGTTCTCCTGGCCTCACTGCAAAGATTGAATGAGACCAGTGTGAATAGATCTAGTGGTGGTGTTTAGCTGCAGCAACAGAAGCAGTTAAGTTTTATAGGCCCAATTGTATACTTATTTTCTGGGAACTGCTTGTGATGATGTTTTATTATGAAATTGATTTTATTTTCTAGACTTGAAGTAGATCTCTTTCCTTGTATTTTTATTGGATTTTTAAAAAATATATTTATTTTTTTAGACAGGGTCTCACTGAGCAGTTTAGGCTGGCCTTAAATTCACAGTGATCCTCCTGCCTCAGCCTCCCAAGTGTTAGGATTACAGGTGTCTGCTACCATGCCTGGCATTATTACCTGGTTTTGTTGCTGTTGTTTTTGGCCTAGCTGTTGTGTTAGCTGTACACGATGATGATATTGTCAAGTACAGGCCTTATTCCTTTTCTCCTAGTACTGCAGTGGTACCTCTATTCATGAACTCATTTCTTCCCAGAACTGTTATACAGCTTCTTCTCTGAGATTATTTACGGGTTTTACCATATGAACCTGTGAACTTGTTAAGGATTGAGCCTCAATTAATTCTTACCTGGCCTTGATTTGTAGATTTTTTAATTATGATGTAATCTGAGAAAATGTTTTCTTGTTTCATAATTTATGGATCAGTAAATGTAAGATTTTTGTGATCAGTTGTAACTTTTTTGAAGTAGTGTGTATATGTGTACACATGTGTATTTGTGTAGTGTGACTTTATCTATTTGTTCAGGTCAGGGAGTAGTTGATGTTATCTGCCCATCTCCTGCTTGTGACTCCATTGTGGTTTGGTGTGACTGGTACCCTTGTGGGACACAACACCAGTTTTGTCATAAAGGTGCATTATTGTAGGTATACAGTACCCATATTTATTCTTTAAAATTTCTATTGATTAATTATTAATTTTAATGAGTTTTATTCTATTAAGCAATGAGAATTTAATGGAAAATATAAAAGACAAAGTATTGGATTTTTAATATTTATTGTTTATGAAAAGCATAAAGAAGACAACAATATGCAATATAATAACCATTGTTGAATTCCTCTAATTTTGTTTAGTGGAATTCTGTATCATTTCTTTTTTTTCTTCTTCTTTTCCTCTTTGGTACTGAAATCAAACTCAGGTCCTTGTGCGTGTCAGGCAGGCACTGTGCCACTGAGCTATATCAGCAGCCCTATATCATTTCCAGATTACTTGCAGTATAATGATTTATTTAAATTCAATTAATCCTTAAAATATGTATGGTGACTAGCCTATGTGTATATACTGTCCTAGGCCCTGGGCGTAGAAAGGCCTGTTTTTTTTTTTTTTTTTTTTTTTTTTAGCGTTTTTGAGACAGGGTTGCTATGCAGTTCAGGCTGGCCTTGAGCTCACTTTGTAGCCCAGACTGATCTTGAGCTTGCAACAACTTTCTGCCTTAGCCTTAGATAGATGCACAGAAAGATAGCCCCATACAAAGAGCAGTTGATAAATGCAGTGATCATTTGGAGCCACAGCGATTAGCAGTAGCAAGGTCATTAAAGAGCCAGAAAGGTCCTGAATAGGGACCTCTTGGTTGTGAATTATGTTTTTGAGAAGTCACAATTGCATTAACTTGATTTGCATGTTTATGGAAAACTAGTATTGCAGATGCTGTGGTGTTTAATTGATCAGAGATTTGAATGTCAGAAGACCTAAAATAATATGTAGGATCCTTTGTTTATTAAGATACAGCAGAATACTTTTAGAGATATTTCTCTGAAATCCATTTTGGGGATACTTAGGGAGGGATGAACCTGATTAACAGTTTTATTTATTAAAATCCAGTACTTCCAGAAATTTCTGAAATGTATTAAAATTGTTGTCTTTAGATATAACATTGTAAAATTTGGATATTGGAAAATTTGCATATTGAACATCTTCCTTTTATTGCTAACAGTGTGTAGGTAGTTGAAGAACCTTGAGAAATTATGAATGGATTCTTTGTGAAATCTCTCGTTGGATGAGAGTGAAGGTATTAAGAGACCTGCGGTTGGCAGTGAAAAGCCTATTTGGAAAAGGCTTTTCTGCAGCCCTGCACATTGATTCTCAAAACAGTTCTCCAAAGCTAGGCTCAGCGGAGGATGTAGAATGACTATAGCCATTCAGTATTTATGTTGTAGGGGCTGTGTGGTAAATATCTCATATACCTTTCTGGATAA